ACTGACGAGTCCTGGTGGGACGAAATGTGTTTAAAAGGATTACTCTAATCAGATTACCCAGATTAATGCTTTGAAAAGGTAAGAATTTATGGCTAACCGTTGCCCTAAGCAGGCTTACCCTAAGGACCGAAAAGGGTTGTTGGATCATAAAGGCATGTCAGTTTCCCTAAGAAGAGCAAGGGGTGATGGATCATGAAGCGAGAGTCACTAGCATAAGCCATGGTAATGGTATAGCAAGGGGTTATAGATAAAATGGCACCTCAGCAAATCGGCATCGATTGGCAAAAACGTCAACTTGTCTAAAGCGAAAAAGGCTTCTATTGCCTGGTGAAAACAGCACCTTAGTATATTTTTTACCTTGGTACTGAAATACATGAAATAAAACCCACATGGTCACATGCAAACACAAATAATTGTGAAATGTTGAAACAAGTTTACATTACAAACTCGCCTCTACTCCAATTTACTCGCCGACTGATTGGGAGATGCAACTAAACTTATTGTGAAAACATTACATGCTTTGAAGTAAAATAAATGAAATTATACTCACATGGTCACTTGCAAACACAAATAATTATGAAATGTTTATCGCCTTAAAACAAGTTTACCTCAGAAATTAGCCTCTATTCCAGTTGATTGGGAGGCGCAACTAAACTTATTGTGAAAACATCATATGCTTTGATTACCTTTACTCAATGTCAAGCTGAAACCGAGTCTGTTTGAAATGTCAAGAAATTGAACTACAGGTATACTATATATTTATTATTTATTTTAGCAAGTAGGAAATAAATAGTAATTTTATAGATATTTCGGCCTACCTTTAGAATACAGTACCACAAACTTTTCAAACACGTGATCATACCCTATGACGTAATTTGTAGTATTTTGTTGCCAGTCACACCAGCGAAACAATGCCCTGTGACGTCAGGGGTCTTCGGGTGTGCATAAGCTCCTCCCAGTGATCTATCATCTCTACATGAAATGCCATTGAATACGCCAAGCAGTGTGGAGAGTTTTGAATATTTGTTTACTAAATATAGCCTGCGGCGGCGCATTTTATAGCAAGCGCTAGTTTACGAAAGCACTTTTATTTTTTATTTTTTATTTATTTTTTATTTCGTTTTTCTCGTAATTGAAGTGGATAAAATGGTTATAAATGGGAACTAATATACATATATTATTTTTCGGTTCATTAATTTTCATTATTATGCACAAGAACGCAGTTTATTAGGGATATTATATTGGCGCTGAACACATCCAAATATCGCTAGTGTTAGGGTAGGTTACCCCGAACTCTATCCTTACCCCTTGGATCCACTTTACAATCAATCACCCCTTTACGATCATTAGGGTTAGGTACCCGTTTAGTGGCTATTAGATTACCCGAACTCTGTCCTTAGCCCTTGGATCCCCTTTACGGTCAATCTTCCCTTTACGATCATTAGGGTTCGGTAAATCTACCCGTTTAGTGGCTATTATAGATTCTATAGCAGCTCCTTATATTCTTCACACAAAAACGTCGAGTAAAAAGTATGAAATGATTTTGTGTTGAATACTTTGGGGAAAGTAGGCTACTGGAAACTGTCCTGGAACATTCACACAAGCCACTTTCACCGGCTACATTTTTTCAGTACTGATTCAAAAGCGAACTCACTGTTGTGTCGTCACTAGTCATACTTATTCCTCCCTCGTTCCTTATTATTATCCACATCATCCTTACAGTGTTCCCTACCACACTTTTCTGTCACAAATATCCCCATATCATTCATGCGTACTCGCGAGTTCGACGTCTGACCGTTTTCCGTTCGCGGCATATCGGATCATTCCTCACCACTCGGTATCTTGTAGATTACGGAATGGGACGAGTGTGCCAAATGGCATCGGGATCATTCGTAAGTGTCCGTAGACTAAAGTCACGAGACACCATGCCTACCCGTAACCTTCGTAAGTGTCCGTCACCTATTCGACCCTTTTCGTTCAGTTCCGTGACGTCATAGGCATGACTAGGTAAATTTGCACTAAGTTTGACAGTGTAGACGTAGCTCAGTCGGTTAGCTGTCATGCTAACAATCCGAAGGTCGCGGGATCGCGTCCGACGGATTCTCACAAAAACTGGTTGCTTATCTTGAGACGTGTGACCTACGGCAGAGATCGTCCTCACGAGAAGTTGTGGTACTGTATTCTAAAGGTGCTCCGATATTTCATATATATCTCCCCTTTCTGCCGGCAGCCAACATCACAAGAATATTTCTGCAGATAAAAGACTGTGTCCCCGCCCAAGGAAAACATATACCGTATATCCCTGTGTATAAGGCAAGTTTTTTATCAAAATTCTTTCAAGTTATATTATGGGGTAATTATTAACCAAATCACTGGTAGATTGCGAGAAACATGTGTACAGGTGATTTCTACTTCAGGCTTAGTTTACAAAAAAATACACACGGTAATCTTAATCATTGCATATTAAACACTGTCTATCAGAACAGGAAATATAATTTAATCAGTGAATCATCATGTCTAGTGTTTTATTATCTCAAATTTAAAATTTGCATCGACCAAGTTTAATTTTGATGATCTGTTCACTTCCCTGAATTCGCTGAAGGGATATGATGTAATGTTTTTTGTCGGAAGACAAACACATTTTTATTGCAAATGTAGGGATTGTGTATGCACTGGTGACATGCTTCATTCCGATTCGCTTTATAGACAGGGTTTATATATTAGCATCGATTTTAAAGGCTTGTACAGGAGGATCACCTTATAGGTATGGTGGCTTTATAGACGGTACTACAACATAACATAACATAGCATGTAAATAAAGCATATATACTTCTACATAAATCACTCTTATCGTTATTAAAAATAAAGGTGCCATTTTCTCCCGACAATTAGTAGCCGTTTTCGCCAAATGAGGTGCTGTTTTTGCCCAAGAAATCGGTGACATATTGCTGAGGTGCTGTTTTAGCCTGCACCCATAGCAAGACAGCGGTCACTCTATAGCACAGTAATTGAGCGGATGATAGCGCTCGGTAAACTAAAGTTTATCTAAATGTGTAGACTCATACAACAAGAGGCAGGGCACTAGTGACAGGGGTACTAGGCTGGGAACTCTCGGTAGTGATAGGCTCCATACGACCGAGACATGTTTGTATTGAAAGGCAAGCCAAGTGCTAAGGGTAGCGTTGGGTGTGACCTACACTAACCCTAACGAATGATAGCATATGGCAAAACCCTTAAAAATAAAATGTCTACTAGTTCTTATGATGCCTCAACTATTGGGCTGTTTGGCAAGGCCTAGGCTACAATTGACCAAAGCACATTAAGTCTTGTTTTCTTTTGAATGGTCGAGTATTGGCACTGACAGACGTATTGAGAAAGAACAAAAGGTTTAGAATTAGTTAAAAATAACCTCTTCAATATCCATATACGGACCAGCACCCTCTGGAAACATTTCGTCAGCTACAATCGCTGGTTTCATTTTATGGACTGTGTCTTCTTTCCGTCAAATACCTCTTTTGCGACTGGCTGTGAATAGACCTTTACGACTTCACAAACGGAAGTACGCTTTACGGCAGAAAACATATTACTTTCCATGCGACTGTCTCGACTGAAAATGAGTATTTGTTGAAGGTTCCAACTGTGAACAGTATTGACATGCTTGGCTATACATTGAATTCAAATATTTCAGAATGTATTTAAACAGTCCGCTCTAGCCCCTCCTAACATTTCTATTTGGGCACACCAATTGTGTCGAAGACCTGTAAAACTCATGTGAAGTGATTTTGATCTATTAAATTTAATCGTTAGAAATTGCCAGTGAACAATGCCATTTCGAAAGTAACATTATTGTGTTCTGTCCAACAACTAATCTGGTAGAATCCGAGGCTATATATACTACCAGTCCTGTTGCATAAAACATCTATGAAAACTACACTTTAAGATTCTAATCATGGAACAGACATTTACCTGTATATAAGTATATAAAGTCAATTCCTTACAACAAACAATTCTCACAAAACTGGTTGCCTTTCTCAGTGACATGTGACCTGGCTACGGCAGAGATCGTCCTCACGTGAAGTTGTGGTGCTGTATTCTGAAGGTGCGCCAAAATGAATATTATTGTCGCCGAAACATGTACCAAATTGTAAAAAACCCGTTTAAAATTATCGTTTCCAAGGCTTTTGCCGAAAAGTTACCGGTCCTTGAAAACTGGAAAATATTAGTCTGCTCCAACAATAAGGGAGCAGAATAGTGTTGAAGACCTAAAGTGTCTCACGTTTTAAGCTTTTTATTTTTAAGTTAGCAAACATATGAAGACTGAGATAGTGTGTTATGTTATGGATATGGAAAAAATGACCAACCGACTTTCATGCACCAATTAAAAAAACTATATTTAAATGATTTACAATACACTTTGATCATCAGTGAAACCTGTGTGTGTTTTTGTTACTAAGCCTTTGCAATACACACGTTCATACCGTGTCGATTGACCGCACTGGTATAACCTATGCGAGTACATGCCAAGAGTCAGAACCGGTCTCTAAATTAATCGCCAGGTTACATCAGAAACTACACCAGAGGGGAGTTTCACGTCCAATCAAGCGTTATGAACACACACTTTATTAGAAAGAATAAACGGCATCTGATTGTTTAAATGCGTTTAGGGTATTTATATAATATAGGCTGATAATACCCATTTATCCAGTGCCAAAAGTCAAAACACCTATCCCTGTGTAATTAGGGTAAATATCTGGATTGACATACATGTTATAGTTCGAGGGCTGTCCACAAAACATGTAAAAATGCGTCATTCTAAGACAAAACAGACTGGCTCACGGCGAAAAAAACATTTTTTTTAAAAAAGCAAAATATTTCATAAGTGGTTAATATACGTAAAAAAGAATACACAAAACTAGGTCTCCTTTCGTCAAATAGTGTCTCGATAACGCCAAGAGAAGCCTCACATGACCAATGTTTCTACGCATTAACAACTGTCTGTAGGAAATCAGTACGATTCACGTGATGCCAGTCATATGACGGGTGTAAGCAGTTGAGTTTAATACATTGCACGTGAAGTATCATTTGAATTAATCCTGGGAGGCGTAACAAACAGGTAATTTGTCTCTTGTGTGCTACTGCGAGTAAGGTATACATCTCTTGTAGTAGTTTCAGTTATAATTTGTACTCGTTAATCTCGAATATATTCTGATTTCAGAAATACACTCCGGTTTGTAACAGGGACAAACAAATCCTTTGGGGGAGGAAGTAAATTTTGAAAGACAACCACTGCAGTAATAATGAAGACCTTTCTCATATTTGCCCTGTTTGGGATAGGTAAGTTATCGTGTTGAAAATCGTGAATGTTCTCTAGACTATGCACCTGGGTTACAGGCAAGACACAGGTAAAATGATGGTCATCATGGTCACGGGACTGATCACCTTAATGATTTCATTAAATATATGCCCAGACTTCATGTGTTATCTATTAGAATATGGATAGGTACCGATATGTTATCACATTATTATTATAATTATTATTATTATTATTATTGGATTTTAACATTAATCATGATCTAATGGACAAAAGGCGATGCCAAGATGTGTTTTATTTCGATTTACCGTAATTATAGCCTGTATGCTCTTATGATTTATTTAATAAGCATTTATATATTATAACTATTGGCATCAATGAAGTTTACCATGTTTACCGGGCACAGTGTTGTAAAATGCAGGGGAATGTGATAATCTAATAGATAATGAACATGCGTTAGTACTGGAAATTAGAAACACTGAGAACAATATGAGGAGCTACTCTTGGTACCAGTAACGTGACTCTATACTCTGAAACTAACCTTACACCCTTATCTGAATAAAACAACTGATAAAATTCTAAAAAAGCTATGCTTTTCATTACTTTTTTTTATCTTAAGTATGTTAAGTTATGGCAGCAACTAAAATAATATAATAGTAGAATATATTATCCCTGGTACAGTAAATGGTTTCAGATATAAGTTCCTCCGATCATTTCATCAAAATTCTTTCAGATTATTATATTTCTGGTAGGTCTCGGAAGAAAATGTGTATACAGTTACTTACTTTTTTGTGGGTTTTTATTCAGTGAATCAATGTTGTTATCTTTTTGAGTGGAAAACTGGAAATAGTTGGTTCTGAAGTTTGCGAATACCAAATACAATTTGAAACCTGATAATTTTCCATTCACCAAAGATGTGAGCGAAAACTAAGACCCCTACTAGTGGCATTATTGAGATGGAGTTGGAAGTTAATGTGATGGCCTGCCTTTAAAATACAGTATCACAAACTTTTCAAACATGTGACAATACCCTATGATGTAATTTGTAGTATTTTGTTTCCAGTCACACTGGCGAAACAGTACCCTGTGACATCAGGGGTCATCGCGTGTGCACAAGCTCTTCCTGATGTTCTATCATCTCTACAGGCAATGTCATTGAATATGCACAACAATGTTGAGAGTTTTGAATATTTGTTTACTAAAAATAGCCTGCTGCGGCGCATTTTATAGCAAGCATTAGTTTATGAAAGCACTTATATTTTCAGTATATTTTATATATTATTTTTTTTGTAATTCAAGTGGCTTAAATGATTATAAATGGGAATATGTATATTATTTTTTCATGAATGCAGTTTATTAGGTATATTATATTGGCGCTGAACACATCCAAATGTCGCCAGTGTTAGGGTTGGTTACCCAAACTCTATCCTTAGCCCTCGGTTCCCCTTTATGATCAATCACCCCTTTACGATCATTAGAGTTAGGTACCCCTTAAGTGGCGTTTACATGACCCGAACTCCATCCTTTAAATAGCCCTTGGACCCCCTTTACGATCTATCAACTTAAGCTTCACAATCATGAGGGTTAGGTACGCGTTTAGTGGCTATTATAGATTCTATAGCAGCTACTAATATTATTCACACAAAAATGTAGAGAAAAAAAAGGATGGAATGGTTGAGTGTCAAATATTTTGGCTACCGGAAACTGTCCTGGAACATTCAGACAAGCCACTTTAAAACAAACAAAAACAAAAATCTTTCACCAACTACATTTTTTCAGTACTGATTCAAAAGCAAACTCACCCTTGTAACATCACTAGCCATGTTTATGCCTCCCTTGTTCCTCACAATTATCTACATTATCCTTACAGTGTTCCCTACCACACTTTTCTGTCACAAAAATCCCCCGACAAATGTTTAAATTCCATGTCATTCATGTGTACCCGCGAGTTTGACATCTGACAACTGACATCAAGCGCTGTTTTCAGTTCGCGTCATATCGGCTCATTCTTCAAACCTTGTTATCTTGTAGATTACAGAATAGGAGACCCATGAATATTCCGGGTTAGAATAGGCCTTCAGCAACCCATGCTTGCCGTAAAAGGCGACTATGCTTGTCATAAAAGGCGACTAACGGGATCAGGTGGTCAGGCTCGCTGACTTGGTTGATGCATGTCATCGATCCCAATTGCGTGGATCGATGCTCATGATATCAATCACTGGATTGTCTGGTCCAGACTCGATTATTTACGGACCGCCGTCATATAGCTGGAATATTGCTGAGTGCGGCGTTAAACAACAAACCAACCAACCAACAGAATAGGACGAGTGTGCCAAATGGCATCAGGATCACTCATAAGTGTCCGTAGACTAACGTCACGAGACACCATGCCTACCCATAACCTTCTTAAGTGTCCGTCACCTATCCGACCCGTTTCGTTCAGTTCCTTTACGTCGTAGTTATGACCAGGTAAATTTGTAGTTTGTTTAACAGTGTGGATGTAGCTCAGTCGGTTAGCTGTCGGGCTAACAATCCAAAGGTTGTGAGATCGCATCCGACAGATTCTCACAAAAACTGGTTGCTTGTCATGTGACCTACAGCAGAGATCATCCTCACGAGAAGTTGTGGTACTGTATTCTAAAGGTGCTCACTACAAGTGACATTATTGAAATAGAGATAGAAATTAATGTGACTTCACCAAGTAGTAGAAATTTGTAGCTACTAGTTGAGGTACTGAAGGTTGTACCATAGCTGGTTTGTTGATGACCGCTGTTGATTAGTCCTAGGGTTATTATCCCCCGCCGCGCGAAAGCGCGAAGCGGGGGATATAGTATTCACGACCGTCCGTACGTCCGTCCGTCCGTACGTCCCACCTGTTTGTTGCCGCGATATCTCAAGAACTAAACACTGGATTGTCTTCATATTTGGAACTATGGTGTATATACAGACTCCGCAGACACCAGTCGGTTTTGGTGACCTTGATCCCATTTTCAAGGTCACAGCAGACAAATCTGCTTTTAGAGTTGGAAAACGGTGTTGCCGCGATATCTCAAGAACTAAACACTGGATTGTCTTCATATTTGGAACTATGGTGTATATACAGACTCCGCAGACACCAGTCGGTTTTGGTGACCTTGATCCCATTTTCAAGGTCACAGCAGACAAATCTGCTTTTAGAGTTGGAAAACGGTGTTGCCGCGATATCTCAAGAACTAAACACTGGATTGTCTTCATATTTGGAACTATGGTGTATATACAGACACCGCAGACACCAGTCGGTTTTGGTGACCTTGACCCCATTTTCAAGGTCACAGCAGGCAAATCTGCTTTTGGAGTTGGAAAACGGTGTTGCCGCGATATCTCAAGAACTAAACACTGGATTGTCTTCATATTTGGAACTATGGTGTATATACAGACACCGCAGACACCAGTCGGTTTTGGTGACCTTGACCCCATTTTCAAGGTCACAGAAGGCAAATCTGCTTTTGGAGTTAGAAAATGGTGTTGCCGCGAAATCTCAAGAACTAATCGCTGGATTGTCTTCATATTTGGAACTATAGTGTATATACAGACACCGCATACACCTGTCAGATTTGGTGACCTGGACCCCATTTTCAAGGTCACAGCAGGCAAATCTGCTTTTGGAGTTAGAAAACGGTGTTGCCACAATATCTCAAGAACTAATCGCTGGATTGTCTTCATATTTGGTACTATGGTGTATATGGCGGGGGATATTTCGTCACTCTGTGACAAATACTTGTTTGAATGGCATTAGCAATGAAGCATTTTCCTAAACTTTCTGTAATAGTTTAAATGGCCATCGACAGACATTTCAAATGAATTGTGACTGACCCAGAGCCTGGTTTTCTGGTCACAGTGACTTGTGTACCGTTGCGATATCTGACATTTGTTCCCTTACAGGGTCTGTCTGCCCAAAGCTTCTGTTCTGGAACTGGTGATAAAGTTTTATACCAGGGTCTTCAAGAAACATTGAATATAAAATAACTTGTCGTCAGCCCTTTTTATTTAACTCTCCTGACTCAAAGTTCAAATGACCATATCTTATGGCATGTTGTCCATCGCCCTTTCATCATTAACTTTAGCATTTTCAACATCTCCTCTGCCTATGGAGGTGAAACGTCGAAGGAATGGTCCCAGCAGTGGTGTCTCTGACAAATGCCCACATAATACAGATCCAATGTTAAACATAACTGCCACGATGGCCATATTCAAAATTTCATTTTGGCCATAACTCCACCACGTCTGCATTTATCATCATGAAAATCCACAAGCAGCAAGGTTGTGTTTTTCAGAATAACATATCATATTTTTGTGTAGCATCAATCATCTGTTTTCAAAATGTATTGAAATTTGATATGGGTGTAGTTAGGTTTGTTTGTTTGTTGTTTAATGTAGCCCTCAGCATTATTCCAGCTACATGATGGCGGTCTGTAAATAATCAAGTCGTTGGGCCAAAAATGTACATTAAATGTTTGACGATTTATAGCTGAAAGATTGTTGTCACCATGGTGAAATGAAAATCAATGTAGGTGCAAAATATGAAAACTATATCCCGCCGCACACTGTTTGCTCAAATTATCTTCATACACTCGGAAACAATGGTGAAAAGGGTTGACTTTCGAAAATAATGTTTCAAGCAACTTGGGGAGGAGCTGTCGATACGATGATCCAGGCAAAGTTTCCCCAGCCTATAACTTTTAATATAGGAAATACCTGGAAACAAGACAGTGTTTTTGTCAATTTGTAAAGTGTGTGACTTTACCCCATGGCTTGTCAAAGCTAAACCAGTCATTGCTTTGTCCATTGACCAAGGGATCGACAGCCCTTCAAAGCAGGATCTCTTTCAAGTGACAGACCAACTTAAAAGGTACAGTTACCCTGATACTGGCCTTTGCACTTTTACCTTGGTCTTAAATGTCTTCTGTGATACTGCTTGACTGACAATGCTGAAATTTGGAAGGTTCCTTCTTTTGAAGACTTCTTATCTTGTTCAAATCTGTTTTTATTGTAAGTTTGACAATCTTGTTCTTAAGATCTGCAGGGCACACAACTTGAGAATTGTGTGAAAATATAGCTCTACAAAGATCCAACTTTGTCTCAGTTTGCTCAACATCTGAGAAAAAATCTTAGCAAGTTAGATCTAATTTATAAACCCTTCCGCCACATGAAGTTGAAAAGGAAAAACGATAAATCTGTTGAATATAATACTAATAATGCTTTTATAATTTCGTTTCCATTTAATAAGTATTCAATAAAATTAGTTTGTAGAGATGATCGATAACTGAGAGGATCTCATCAACCCTGTTGGTCAATGTTTCACCTGTGGAGATTACAACAATACTTGACTGATTACATCAGTGTATTGTGATGTGTTTGTAAACTTTTACAGGTAGGTCAGAAGGGTAAATAAAGTACCAAAGTGTTATGGATATGCATGCCTGCTCCTGGCACCTATCTGATTCATTTCTCGAAAGTATAAGGGTGGATTATTGCCGACAAATGAACACAACTTCCCTGAAGAATTCCAGAACCATGATAACTGTGTCAACCAGCAACAGAAACAATGATTACCCTCATTCTCTGCTGCTGCTGATTCATTGTGATGTTGTGAGTGCACGATACTTCTACTGCAGGAGAGGCCATGCGAGCTTATGTTGCAATTCATCATCGTCCATAAACGTTTCACGTTGTAATTTCCCCAAATGGTTCGAAGTATATAGCTGAAGTTTTGTTGCTATAATAGAGTTTAAGATTGTTCAGTACTTTCAATAATGCAATTTCAATATAGCAGACAGTTGGTATCTTTGATTTAAACAAAATGATTTCTTAAAAATTCTTTTGTTCCAAAACTTGAAGTTTGTAAACAGTGCTAACATATGTAGTTCCAAGTTTCTTTCAGGCATCTTGATTGGAAATCAAATATGGTTGCCAGCAATGTGGAAGGCCTGTATCCACCACTGTGATGTTCTGAAATAATTTGCATTGCTGTAGATTATGTTTGTAATAAAAGTGACTGATGCACCATCAAGTGAGAGTAAGAATAGCTATTTCAAGTTGGCGATGTGGTTAGAGCAGGAGTAGGCATGAAGTGGAATGTGACTAAACTGACGTTTGACTGAAAATGTAGTCTGGTGGAGACACATGTCCAGATGTAGTGACACTTCATCCCAGGTGTTTTGTCATGATATGATCACAAGATAGTAGATACTATTTACAATGTACACAAGTCTGTTCCCTGTATCTGGGGTATCCTGGAGTTTTTGTTTAAGTTTAAATTAGTAGTATTAAAATATTAGAGCATTTGAGAAGTTGAGAGAGGGGACAAAATTGTTTGTGTTTGATAGGCGAAACTTGAATGTTAGAATGCTTGGTCGTTTGCACCTTCTGAACAATCCTCAGTTATTTTAAGTAATTGGAATGCCACACCACACTGTCCCTGTCCCTGGCACATTTTATAGAGTTATTGGGAATGACGGATAAGGTTGTTACATATAAATTTATGATTCAAATGTAATCCATAATAATGTGAAGCAGTAAATGTTACTTTCACTTTCATTTATCAGGAAGATATTGTGTCGGGTATGAAAGGTGAGATAACAGTGATATGGATATGGTTGTTGTTGAGTGAAGATTAGTCAGGTGGAGTAAGTATATGCTCACCTTGCTGACTCACTCCTATCACGGCCTCCATCAAGCATTGTGCTTCTATCATGCATCACATTTACTGTTGCACAACTTGACTTGGTTATTTCATTATCATAGTATAACTGGAAACCGACATTGGTGACATATTGTTTTCCATGTGTGCTTCAGAGCATCATAGACTGCCTGCATGTTAGAGTGTCTGCCCAGGGAGTGGTAGGTCAGAGATTCCATCTCCGGCCATGTCATACCACAAGACATTACAAGATGGTACTTGTTGACACCCCTATTTGTACCAGGTGTATGTGACATTGTAAACCAAGTACATTCTACTTGTTCATATTGAAGGACCAGTGATGATGGCGGATTGTCATCTTCAATCATTTCATTAAGTTTACTTATAGAAAAAAATATTTTTCATTGGTATTTGTAGATATTCTATTACCCTGATTAAAGATCCCATTCATTCTGAAACAGGGGGTATTTTCTTCCATATAAACTATTTTCTGGGGTAAACACTCAGTATGGGATTTCTTCCGGGGTGTGTGCCTGATTTCAGTCTGTCATGATCACTGAGGAAATTGCACCTTTTGATCATGTCTTTCCCAGGGGCCTAGTATACTTGATTTCCTGTAAGTATAGCATGTGTAGTTTTTTTACCGAATTGTTGCAAAGCAATCCAAACATTATTTTCTGTTACTGTTTTTCCCCCCACGAGAATTCCCCATGCTGGTCTTGATGCATCCTTATCTTTCATGATAAGCCCGAAGAACAAGTTGATGTAGTTTTTTGACACAGATATGGCTGTGCATATATTCACAAACTATGTTTGCTTGTTATTGATATTCAGTTTGCTGTTATCTTAACTAATTACATAACAGCCTGTGCAATCAGTCGAAACCATCAGTATTTGTATTCCTAATTGAATGGCTCGGTTGATTAAACATTGTTAAATGTAACATCTGTCACTGTTATGATGCTATTATAATATGTATCTCAATGAGACAAATATATATCATTTCTTCATATTCCTATGTCCAGTGTGTGTTGAAAGGGGAGATACAATCCCAAGTGGGTTTCAACCGTAGGCCATGGTTGGGTGTGTAAGTATCACAAGGTGTGCAGATACTGATGGTGCGCAGGGGATGGGGGGTTAAAGGTTAGGTGGGTGGCAATAGCAACCAGAGCAGTGTATCAGGTTAGGATATTTTTGTGCATGTGCACAGTGGCACCTAGGCCAAACTTTGCAAGGCAGCTAGATGAGTTGTTCTTAAGACAACAGTAATCATTGGTCAGCAACGTTCCCATGTGTTATTTATCAATATCTACAAAACAAGGCAGAAGCAGGTGGGTGGTGTGGCTGACAGTAGAAGGTATTAACATTGTCAGCTGATCTTGGATCAGCAGCTGGTTGTAATTGACGACGATTAAATAGTCTGGTTTCATAACATACGACAGAAGGTTGGTTAAATCTTTAACCTCATACATACAATAGAAACTGAAACCAGGGAAATGATGTTGAAATGTTGCTTGAAACTGTAATGTTTGTGTTATACAATGCATCACCTCACAAGGGTCAGAAGTCGCAATCATTCTTCTCAGTATTTAAGAAATATATGATGACCAGGAGTTGTTTATCGTACAATAAAACAGGCAGGGAGAATAAACCATGAGGGACACAGAAAGGTTTATTCTCCCTGCAGTGTTATTTTGAGATAAACAATGACCACATGTCATTTATTCCCTATGAAATATCAACATTGCAGTGGGTGGGTGTAAATTTGGTACTTAACCTTTTCTCCCTATACTGATTGTCATATCCCTTCAACCTTTGGATGCTTTCGTTCAGTGACTGCAATCATCAATATTGCCCAGATGCATGTACGGGAAACAACTCACTTGACACTTCCCTCTCAAAAATAACGTCGTCCATTTTACGTCATCACATTGTGAGTGCATGTTTGAATCTAAAGAAATGACATGAAAGAACAATGTTTTATCGTGAAATAAACCATGTTTAGGTCTTCATTGTTCTTTTTGATTTATTGCATAAATATCTAACTCAACACATATCATATGTCATGATTATGTCAAATATCAAGGTCACTTTGAAGGTCGTTCACTAATGAAATGACTCATAACAGTTGGATATGGTTGTTTGTTGGTCAACGCCACACTAAGCAATATTCCAGCTATATGGTGACAGTCTGGAAATAATCGAGTCTGGTCTAGACAAAACAGTGATCGACATTATGAGCATCGATCTACTCAGTTGTGATACGATTACATGCATCAAGCAAGTCAGCGAGCCTGACCACCCAAACCCCGTTCGCCGCCTCTTACGACAAGCAAAGTCCCCTCTTAGAGCAATTAGGAAGTATTGTTAATGTTTTGGAATGAAGACTTCATATTTGTAACACAGTAATGTAGGATAAGTATACAAATGTAAAAAAATATTTAGAATTTACTTAATTTTTAAGTTTTTATTTGCCCTTTTCACCCATTATTAGTGATAATCTGAATGTAATGATCCAGATGTACATGTAACTTGTATTTCTTGACCACAGTGGCTGGTGTCAAGTTCCAGTTCAACTCGACAGACCCGTGTGTGATGCTGGATGTAGATGCTACATTCACCACCACAGCCTCACAGAGGGACGGCCAGCTGGTAAGTGTTCACAAGCTTCACAACTCATATTGTGTCTGAGATAATACATCATTACACTTATTCAATTTACCAATCTTTTTACCACTATGATAATGCTGTTTCACCAAAGTCATTCTCGAACAAAGTGGGGATTGAGCTACAGATTAGCTCCGTTTTTCTTAAAATACCCCCCAAAAATATTAAAAATCCAATTACTTTCAATTAACTTGTGTACAGAAACACATGGATTAAATGAAAAACTCAAATGTATAAAAACAGCACACGTAAATTCCCAATGAAGTTTTTTCAGCATGTGTACAACAGAGCTAATTTCCGAAAAACAGTTACTTTCCGAGTCAAGGCTATATTTAGAACCGTTATATACATCTAAATCATTGCTCACAAAGTTATCTGTAGCTCGGCATTATGCATGCAGTCATCTTCTTTCTAAAACTGCTGACTGAAATCATGGTTTTTGGGGGTTAGTTTTGCTACATTTATCCCAGTTATTAAATTTACTTTGGTAAAAGCAACATGAAATGTATTTGTATTACAAAAAAGGAGGCAAATTTACTGCTGTGTATTGCAACAATATTTCACCATATTCACGCAAATTCATTGGTACAGGCCGACAAATTTGTTGAAATTTGAAATACTGTATTTTCTTGAAGGCAGTGATGTGGACAGTGAAAACAATTGTGGTGGTGTAGAGTGAGTGAGTTAGGTTTAATGCCATTTTTAAGAGTATTCCAGTTATATCATGGTGTGTCAACTTAGTGTGGGAGAAAGCTAGAGACATAGTTGGGTTGAAATGGAGGATGACATATACAAAGTTTCATTCTACAGCAAGTATACTTGAACATTGTACATACACAGTGTATATCAGTAACAAGGACTGCCAAGAACAATCAAAAGGCTCTTCAGCATTTAAACCAAACAGAATGTTCCTTGGTGGATATATTATGCATTAAACACCATAATGAGTTGGCTCCCCCCATCGCAGACAGTACCCTGAGCACGTTACACCAGAAATACCATGTCAACAAATCTGTACTAATATGCAATGTAATCTGTAATTACACTGTCTGGTTATAAAAAGTGTTCATTGTATATCATTGTTGTCTATTGTATAGTAAATTTTCTAATAAATTGTATATTTATATACTTATCCTATCTCACACTATGCATTTCATTGTATTCTTCGATCTTGGTGTGGAAACGTCCTAGAACAGAGTTTCCAGCTTCAAAAACACCACTCACCCAAACACATCCCACACATCACCAAATCACCACTATGATCATGGTTCACTCACCACTAAAATCCTGTGCGACACGACCCCAGCGACCTGATCACCTGACATATCCAGCACCCTCATTCTCAATTCTATCGCTATGGTGTTCGGACGTTATTCTTGAACATAGAATTTTTGTTTGTTTGTTTGGTTTTCTTATATTTTATCTATAAAATTTAAATACACAACCTCACTACTAAAGTTTACCATAACCACGAAGAGAGAGAAAGTGGTATTATTAACGATGTCAGAGTTGGATCTCAACTAACTTAGCTTAGTGTTCGATAAAGGTGACTGTTTGTCGGTTCAAGGCGTTGTTTATGGTTTTTGTGCATGTTGTTTTTCCACCGCTTTGAGACCCAAATGATTGTGTTATCCCCTGTGGCTGTACCTTCGTTTTCTTGCTTAAGAAACTATTATAGTCAATTTGGCGATGGTTACCGTAGAGGAGGATCGCTTTCCGTCTCGTTTGACTGCTGTGATTCCCGCCTCTGTGCGGACCACGCCCCTGTGCACGTGCCCGCTCCCTGGCTTCTACAGTCGTGCCGCTTTTAAATGGCCAGTTCATCGTGTTGGACTACAGCCTTTTACTCAGCTTGGGAAGTCAAGCCTTCAACTGAGGGTTGCCTCTACCCCCAACACGCTTGTTACTCAGGTCATCGCTTCTGCAGCGCTCTGAGGATAAAGCTACATCTCCCCGGCTTTCTAATGGCGACAACCCCTCTGACCGAAAACACTACAATCGTTGACGAGGAAGTGATAGCCAACTGACGACGGATCTTAACTCACAGGATCATCATCCTTCGCTGGATTGTAACGACCAAGGGATCGACAGATCGCCATACTTCACCATTATCGACAAGATGCTGTTCTTGGATGGATATTTCGCCAAATCTAACCTTGGAGTATCGACAGTTTCGCCTTCTCTACATATCGATACCCGAGGAATCTCCACTCGACGTTACACATCGATGCATCGACACATGGACTACCATGTTGACACTTGACCTGATCCTACCTCGGAGGATCGACAGGACCGTCATCCTTTGTTGGATCATAGACGACCGAGGGACCGACAGATCACCTTACTTCACCATTATCGCAATACTTCACCATTATCGACTAGGCGCTGATATTGGATGGACAGTCCGTCATATTGTACCTCAGAGGATCAACAGTTTCGCCTCTCCTACAGATCGATACCGAGGGATCTCCACTCTACGATACACATCGACATGCATCAACACATCGATACATCGACACATGGATAAATCGATACGTCGACACATTGTCCGATCAAGATCTCGTCCGCTAGTACGACTTACCTGCAGGAAGCTTCGGTGGCTGAGTGGGTTAGATCGCTGACTTTGTGTGCTGGCGATTAGGTCCCTTACTCTGGCAGTGTGGGTTCAAATCCGGGACGGGACTCAACCTCATAAAGTACGAGCAAGTACTTTACTGCGAAGATGTTATCCCAGATATAATTTTTGTTACATAAAACAGACGAACGACGGATCGTCCTCAGTCATAAGATCGTCATTCTTCCACGGAATCAATAGACCTCTCTCTCATCATGCATCTGACTTCTATACGCTAACTTGGACATGGCCTTTGCTGCATTCTGCTGTCTAGATCAGACAATCCAGTGATTGTCATCACGAGCATCTGTCTACGTCTTGGGATACGATGACCTGCACCAATCATATCAGCGAACTTGACCAACTGGTCTCGTTGGTCTCTTACAGGCATAGTCATCTCGTATGTCGAGATTGAGATACTAACTTTTTTTCTCTACCGGGATCTTCGTGGATCCGGTCCACGTGCCTGCCAGCCATGAATCGTCTTACGATACTCTCCTATGAGAAATCACCATTACAAGGTTATGAAGCTCGAGGCAACGCGCTCCCCCTATTCAGATTTGAATCATCAGACAGACATCATCCTGATCCTCGATATCATCGGAGCCGACCTTTATCATCGACGCCAATCTTTACCATCGAAGCCCTCGATTTCAACCTGATATTCCATAACAGTTTATGACGACCGAGACAACGCGCTCCCCCATACAGATTTGAATCATCAGACAGACGACATCATCCTGAGGCTTGATATCATCGCAGCTGACTTTTATCATCGACGCCCTCAAATTCAGCCTGTTATTCCATATTAGTTGGCACGTCTTTTCCACCCTCACCCATTCTAACAGACGATACGACGGGGCAGTCCGTCCGTCTTTCATCGGTACAAACGGCAGATGTTCGATGTCTGAAGATGGTTTCTAGCACACCGGTTTCGTCCCATATTCTACAAGCAACTGACTGCCCAACACCGATGTTTTTCATTACACGGGACAGCGCTCGTGTGTTGGGAGCTTTTGACCACGTGATCGGAAAGACTGCTGTATTTCCTGTTCTGCGCAAGGGTGAATTACACATCAAGCCAAGACTGCTGTTTGTAAACAAGACTACGATGCTGACTTTCTTACAGGCCGATCTCATGCGAGCTGTGCGAAGCATTACAGTAGTTGTCTATGACTATACGTGCGGTCTATCACATCTTCGCAACTCCTTTTGTCGTCGCATTGATACCAGAATGCACAGCGCTTTTTCAGTGCCAAGGCGTTGGAATCCATCGTTCTACACGTCACTGATCAACCTGGCAGGACAAGCCATCCCTCACTTATTCAAGACGAGAGTTGGTGAATATCGATTTTTAATTTTTTTTTTGGTATATGATCCTAATGTTAGCCACGTCCACTCAAGGCACGATGTTTACTACTACCGCTCTTCAACATAGTCCCGATTACCCTGCTTCGTACGATCAGCCAACCGGTAATCTATAGCATCGTTTTTCTATGAGATACTAGATCACACGCACGATCGTCAAGATTTTACCATCACTTTATAACACAATTTTTGTGTAATGTGTTCTTGAACATTGATCAGCAGGTGAACTCATCTCCACATCAACAACTCGGAAGTTCAACGTTCTACATATGGTAATAGCTATTACACTTTGGACGACCTCTCTGCTACCCCATTCCAACCGCCACCTGTCAACAGACAACAGCTTGGATTTCCACAACTGGAAGGAGAACCACCCTTCTTGTCACTGGCGGTACACTACCCTTTGGAATTGCTTCGACCCATGACTATGACTAAACCAATTGCTGTTCGTCACACAGGAATCCGTAATACATTTTACCTGGATGAAGGCATTCAAGCCTGGATATCAACAATTACTCAGACTACAATATTTACCCGGAAATTATTAACACAACTACGTTGGTTAATAAATTATCAGAAGTCCGACTTACAACCATTCCAGGATCTCCATTCCTTGGGATCAAGTCTAAGGAGCCAGACTAACATCCTAGTACCAGAACACATTGAGGAAACACCTCTTGTGAAGGTCTGTGGAATCGATTGTTAGCGCAGGAACTTGTTTACACAAGCCGGAATACAACCACCTGTTCAATGGTAGAAACTAACAGTTTCAGTCCACTAGTCCTTATAATGATAGCATATAGCAAAACCTTTAAAAATGGCAAAATTCTACTAGTCCTTAGGATACCTTTACTATTGGGCGGTTTTGCATGGACTGTAGGACTAGTGCCAATTTCTAACCCTGCTGTTCATGGATACCTCACTTCCATGTTGAGGAGCTCACTTCAACTTGGAAGTAACATCAGACCTATGGTCAGAAGCAGACAGCTCTACCACATCAATTATCTGGAATACGAGGCTGTAATCCGGGTAATATTTCATTGGACCCCACGGTCAAAAAACCAATGTGTGATGATCGGGACACTCATTTCAACTGTGGCATACACCATACACCTTCAAGACACAATGTAATCAGAGACCCTCCTGCAGTTGACTTTTCAGCTTTGGTAGACAAGCTCAACTTAGCGATAAAGGCAAGACATATACCGGGAGCGGCATATGGATTAGCAGACACCTTATCCAGACCACCCATACCAGCCAGAAACCATGGAACACATGATTCCCTGATGCCATGATGTATATCTCTTGGTAGCACAAAGAGGGTTTTTTTAAGCACCCCTTACACGAGTTTATCACTAATCCTTGTAAAATCCTTTGAATTTTCCTGATTAGTTCCAGCTTACTCGTGTACGTCTCACGGTTGAAGTCCTTACAGGCTAGGGTATCTGCGCCCCACCATCCTACCGTGGGATAAGTGCATAGTGTGAGATAGGATAAGTTTAAAAATTTGTAAATTTTCTAAAAAAATGTATATTAATATACTTTTCCTATCTCACACGCTAAATGCCCACCCAACCATCCCTGTATCACAGTTACACCAGCCTGTACGCTCTAGATTGAGAATGAGGATGCTGGATATGTCAGTGATCAGGGGTTGTGTTGCACAGGATTTTAGTGGTGCGAGAACAATGATCACAGTGGTTTCCAAACCAAGATCAAAGAATTAGAGGAAATGCATAGTGTGAGATAGGATAAGTTTAAACATTTTATTTTTTCAAAATTTCATTCAATATTCATTCCATTAATTTCAGCAAATTCGTGTGGTAGATCACTACACTCTGCGTTTTTTACAGCGACCACAGTCAAATTTTGACTATTAATGCCTTGAAATGCATTCACTGCTTACCTTACGTCAAAGAAGACAACGCCTTGCGATGGTCCTTTGTTAAAAAAAGGTGCTTTTTACAATGAAACATTAGGTACACTATAAGTTGCTATAGTTTTGTGCTTGTGTAAACCACGCACGCACGCACGCACGCACACATACATACACACACGGATAAATATATGTTTCAAGATTGTATCATGTTGTTTTTCCCTGCCAGGTGAAAGGTTCTGTGAAGGCAAGTGATGTGCACTCTGTAAGTGGGTCCTGTGGAGAAAATCAAGCGAAACTGATCATCAATTTCAACAAGACTGGTGCTAAATGGACTCTACTCTTCAGCAAGAAAAATGATTCTGTGACTGTTGCACTGGACATGATGTTCCAGTTTGATGACAAGATGTTCCCCAACAAAAATCTTACCAGTAGTGAGTCCTGTTTCCTACTCTTCCAAACTTCCCCAAATTCTGCAAATTCTATTTCTTCCTTGCTGACCTCGTCAGTTTACCACTAAACCACAACTTGACAGTGACTGAAAGTAGCAACCATCACAGATGATTTGCTTGACTCTCTATCCTGGATAAGATCCTATGAAGCTGTTATCCAGTGTGTGTTTCTGGTAGTAACTCTTGAGAATACGTTTAGAATTCTGCCTTGGCCTAGTATGGGATTGCAGTGACCTTTCACCTGTGGTTGGTGGCTGTACTACTTACCACCCTCTGTTCTCCCACTTACTCTTCGTACAATATCAGGGATTTACCCAGGAATGAAAACTAAACCCTTAGCAGGCAATTTGGAAAAGAAATATTATTTTGCTCAAGTTGGTCAGTGAACAAGTCACGTCTACAAGCCATAACATGAGTTATTACTTTATAATATGAATTGGGATATTTGCGATTCCAATTTGGAAATTTTGACTGTTCGCAGCCGAATATTTGCCTCTGAGCAGATCTAGATAAATTCCCTGCATATCCACAGATAATCTGGAGCAAAAGTACCTCAACTGGAGCATTAAGGCTGAAAAAATAAAAAAAATTGGTTCTCAGGCAATATCTTTTGAAAATATCGGGCGGGCGGGCGGGCTTTTTGGGGTGTGTGTGTACAAACTAGTAGTAATAATCCAAATCCATATATAGCTGTGTATAAGGCACCTATTTCATAACTAGAATTAGGAAACTTTCAGGGCAGGTCCTCTTATACACAGGGTTGAGTTTTTTTTTCCGCAGCACAGACTTTACTGTAAGCACGTAACACCGGAAATACCATGTCAACAAATCCTTACTGAAGTACGCAAATTAATCGTGTAATTACACTGTCTGCTTGTTAAGAGTTCATAATATATCTGGACTTATGTTTGTAATCTATTTTATTAATTTTATTCAACATTTCATTCAATATTGTTTCAATTCATTTGGCGAAATCGTATGTGAAGTGATCGGAAGATCGCACAACTCACTGTTATTTACAGCAACCACAGTCATATTGCTGTCTTGAAACGAACTTTAATGGATAGATATATCATAAATGCCATACATTGAATTGCTGAAAGTCATATTTGTTATAGTTTGACCATTATCTGTCAACATTAAGTTTTCGCAATCGCGGGCACGGGAGCATCGACGAAAACATATCCGGCAATGGCGATCAGCTGAACCAAAGTGCCTAGCTTATGGTTATTAATTTATTTCACACACATATATATAGTAAAGCGTCAACTAACATGATATTGGAATAAATTATTCCTGATAAAATAATGGTTTCAGATACAATTCTTCCGCTCATTGTATCAAAATTCTTTAAAATTATATTATTGACCGAATCACTGGTAGATTCCTAGAAACGTGTCTACAGCTGATTGCTACTTCCAGCTTAGTTTACGAGACTAGACGCACGGTAGTCTTAATTACTGCATATAAAACAATGCCAATCTAATCAGAACAGGGAATACAATTTAATCGGTAGATCATGATGTCTTGTGATGGTTTATCTCAAATTTGTTTTGGCCAAGTTTAGCCCTAATTGTTATAATCTGTTCATTTTCGTGAATTCGCTGAAGGGATATGATGTATTTTTTTTCTGCATTATTGCAAACGTGCTTCATTCCGATTCGCTTTATAGACTGGGAATATAATTTACCATCGGTTTCCCCCTTATTTTACGAGACAAATACACATATAATTGTAAATCTTAACCTCTGCGTATGAAGCATTGTTCCACATACAGTACATACATACCATTGAATTTGTATTTGAATACCATCATCATGTCTAGTGATGTTGTTTCGCAAACTGAATGTTTTCATTGACCAAATTTGCAAACAGCAAAACAAGCACACAAACTCCTATTGCCGCCATGACCATAACACACTAGATGCGCAGTAAAGCAGTGCGCTTGAAAAGGGAAGTAACTGCATGTTATATTGGATGACATTGTTTTTAAGTATTGTAGCATTTCACTGTTGGGGTCGTGTGTTTGAGACGGGAATATTTAATGATTTTGTTGTTGTTGAAAATTGAAATAAAAACGAAACGTGCGGTGAACTTTACGATGATGCGGCGGTGCCTGAGAACAAAGAATTATTTTTTTTAGCCTAATATATTTCATTTTCTCCGTTTATGATAGGCAAGATGCCAACTTTCACACTATGATAATGTTAGAAAATCTAGTGAATGTTGATTGTAGTCAGTTGATAAGAAAATTGATTCTTGCTAGTTCTAGTTCTAAACTGCATTATCATGATTATGATGTCACATAAGGACTTAAGACCACTAAGAACCTTGTTTGGTAGAAATTGCATGGAATGTGTATTAGGTATTGTGTAGGATTAATTTATCCTAAAAAAATAGTTGATTGAATTGTGAATTGTTGTTAATACATGTTGTAATGATCTGTAATCAAAGGGAAATAACGGATACAGTTAATGCACCTTGCACTTGGATTTGCCTATGTGATTTGGTGATGTATTCACTAATTCAGCTTTTCAATGACATTTTGTCAAAATGTGATGTTTTGAAATGAGACTAAGCATGATATGTTGCAGATGTCATCGTGGATGATGAGGGGACAACAACATTGTCCAAGTCGGACCAGTCCTACAGGTGTGATGCTTCACAGCAAGTTAAGTTCAAGTCATTTGCTAGTGACAACGTAACATACACAGTCCTTCTTACACTGAAAAGTCTACAGGTTCAAGCTTTCAACGTGTCTAACGGAGCTTTCAGCAGTGATGGTATGGTATTTTCTTCATGCATTATTCATTCATTTTACTGTGTTTGAAGAGAGGATTTAGCTGATAACAACCCTTGAACTTCAGGACTCGGGGGGGGGGGAGTTAGATCTTTCTTCGCAACTAACAGTATTTATTCAAAACAAACATAGTTGGGCTTTTGGATTGTTACCTCACCGGGTCATGCTGTCAGAATTGCCATCCACCCATTTGAAATGCTGACAGAGTCAAAATTATGAAATATTTGCAGTAATATACATGTACAATGCAAATATATATTTTGTCATGATTGCGTAAATATCCAGGTGAGTGATACAGGCCCTATGGGCCTCTTGTTTTGTGGGCCAGTGTTTTTTGCTCCTTCCCTATATGTCACCACAATGTCAAACAATTTTATGATGTGATATGACTGTAATATCCCCCTTCGACATAAACTGACACACTACTACTGACAGCTTACTATATGGCAGTTATCATATCATACCCCATACCAACCCTACATCCCCATCGTCCAAATGTCATGTGTAGGTCAAGGTCACGAGATAGAATGTCTATTTGACCTTGATTCGACCTTTAACCATGCTCTAATAAGCTCTCAAAATGCAATCCCTTTTGCTGTAGACATCGTCTCAGAAACCGCTGCCCCATGAAGCTGAATTTTCACATGCATTTTCAAACCAGTCATGACATCTGAATGTGTTCAAGAGGTCTGAATCTGAGTTTCAATATGGTCTCGATATGGTATTATCCCCAGCATTAACAAAGTCGGTTTGAAATATTCAAACCTTTTATACACTTGTGTATGTAATCGTCCATCAGGTTTCTTTTTGAGGCATTTACCCATAAAAATCTCTTTGCGAATGACTGTATTAATATTTTCAGTGGAGCACTGTGAGGCAGATGTCAAATCAACGTCCCCAAGTAAACCCACCTCCTCAGTTGAACCAACCACCTCAGAAGAACCTACCACCTCAGAAGAACCCACCACCTCAGAAGAACCCACCACCTCAGAAGAACCTACCACCTCAGAGAAGCCAGACACATCGACTGAGTCCACACAGATGACATCAGATGCTCCTCCAACCAGTGATTCCACCACAGCAAGGCCCATCCCTCAAGTTAATCACTATGTGTTTTCTAATGGCAATGACACATGTATTCGCATGGATGCAGCCATTCAATTGTCCATCATGTATGAAACCAAGGACAACAAAACTGTGAGTTGGTCATACTTGTCCTGTCTATCAACAGTACCACTGAGTATTTTAGAACAGTTAATAGTTTGGTAATGTTTTCACATCTGAAGGTCTCGCCTTCACGGGCAATGTTTTCACATCTGAAGGTCTCGCCTTCACGGGCAAAACTTTGTTATAAAGGTAGTAGCTACAGGCACCACATTGTCAAAGTTAAACTATATTAGGCATGTTTTCCTAAAACGAAATGCTTATAACACTGTTTTTGATGTTGCTAGAAGCCTGGAACTTCTGTTTCAAAGTTTTAATACGCATTGATATGTGTTTTATGATACCATAAGTGATGCCATTATACATGTCAAACCAGAATTGCTTTTGACTTGCTTTTAGAGTGGGTAGGACTAAGTTGTACTAGGTCTTCAGCAACCTATGCTTGTCATAAGAGGCCAATAACGCGATCGGTTTGGGCAGGCTTGTTGAGGAGCAGTCTTTGTATCTAAATTGCGTGGATCGATGCTCTTGATGTTAATCACTGATTGTCTGGTCTAGACCACCGTCATATGTCTGGAATATTGCTGAGTGCGGCGTTAAACAACAACAAAGTTGTACTGCATAAGACAATGTTAGGGATCAGTGATAGATAAATATTGGTGAGATCAGCTGTCAACCTCATTAGGTTCAAGCTACATGTGGGGGCACGGGTGGCCCAGTCGTCTAAGGCATTGCGATTCGCTGTGCAGAGTTGCGTCCCTTGGGCACGCCAGAAACCTATGATTGTGGGTTCGAATCCCGGTTCGCCCCGATTATGTTTCTAGGTTTGTCAGCACCATACCCGTGCTCGTGGGTTTCACCTAAGTGGTAAACGTCTGAGACCTGCATCACTTCGGGCTTTCCTCCCACATTAAGCTGACACGCCGTGATATGACTGGAATAATGTTAAAAGCGGCGTTAAACCCAACTCACTCACTCACTCAAGCTACATGTTTCTGATGCGGAAGGTTTGGGGTTGTTCGATGATGCCTGGAACAGTATGGGGCCTTAACACTTGGATTTAGTCATGGAAATAATACAGACAGGTTTTTTTTCATCTAAACTTGGTTCAGAAAAGGTAAAACCTCGATGACATGTAGCACATCAACAGTTTATTGTCTTCAATGATGAGATTTGCAAGATCAAAAAGGTGTTGCAAGTCTTATATATTCAGTAGTATTCAGGGATGTGTGTGATGTATAGTCTGGAAGGTAATTTAAGGTACCGACGTTTACTACAACATCTGAAAAACTATTGGACCTACTCCAGTCAAAGTTGGTATGAGATTATTAAACATTCATACATAACTGGATATTACATTTAAAGACAATCGGTGCATGAATAAAAAATCTGTCTATTTAGCTATCACTTTATTTCATCAACATCCAGACCTGTTCGTCACGGGTGGAACGAGCATTCATCATGTTCATTGTAACAGCCATCTGCATAATGCTACCCCTGCGTCACAGGGCCATATGACACAGTTGAACTCAAAAGGGTGCACGGGAATCACGCATGCACGAAAACAGTGTTAGCATTGGGCGTCTCAACGTGCGTGATTCCCTTCCAGATGCAGACCTATATATCTGTGGTACCGGTTCCTAAGCTCTTAGCGTTCCCTGGGAAGGCCTAAAAGTGTACACTTTCCTGCCTACTGTTTTCCTTCCCAGGGCTCTTCAAAAGATCAGGTTGACATCGCTCTGACATTGTGGCTGGTAATGGGCTGGTTCGTGGAGCTCAAAGGATTATCCTCAGCCTAGCCCTTCGAACTGCCAGGTTGGCCAAACCTGTTGATCCACCCACACACCAGCTCTTCACTCTTGCTACATCTGCAAAGAGCCTTAAGCTCCAAGGGCTACTCAGCAAAGGCGATCACCTTGGCGCACAGACCTTCTACCAGGGGCCTTTACAATGACAAGTGGCTCTCCTAGTGTTTGCTAGGGAAAACAGCAGGACCTCACTTCTGCATCACCCCAATTCTATGCTGAAATCCTTCTCTTCCAGCGCCGCAAACTTCAGCTGAAGGGCAGTTCTATTACTACATACTTTGTGGCCCTCAACTTAGTCTTGGCATTCACAGATCATAAGATGACGAAGATGCCAGAACTCCAAGCTTTGCTGTGTTTCTTCTGATTTGGAGATCAACCTGGCATGGGATCTGAACGTGGTTCTTACATTGCTGCAGGGTGCGCCCTTACAACCTCGCTTCATACTCCTACCTCACCAAGAAGATGGTCTTCCTCTTGGCCCTGGCTACGCCTGCACAGGTCAGCATACCCTGAACAACTGTGTCAGATTTGAGCGCAGGGAGCTATACATCGATATGAGAGAGATGCCTTAGAGGATGTTGAAGGCATCCACAGCTCTGGCCCTATGGTGGTCGCCCAGCAGATTACCGCCCCAAAGTGCCATTGACTCTTCCTGATGTTAGGCGCCGACCTTTCGACCTCTCTGGTGCATGTCACAATTGACTAGAAGGTTTACATGCTACTTGCACGTCAGTTTTAGACTTTAGCTAATGCTTAATTTATATTACTGCAATTCCACCTGGACATCCCACATACCTTTCTCTTGGTTCCTTCCAACAGGAATGGTCACTTGATGTCAAACATTGTGGCTCTTGTTGGGATTTGAAGAGAGTTTATTGAAGTTTGCATCTGAAGGAATGCCCACTGCCACACTGCTGATAAAGGTGTATTGCAGACCTGACTCCGCACGATGTGTTCAGAAGTTCTGCATTAGCAGTAATGTGCTGTTCTGTGACATCATCACTTCTGTGGTCACGTGGGAGCTGGATTTAGCCACACAACTAGTTGGAACAACTTCTTCTTCAACAAGACCTCACACAGCTCTTTCTTTCCGTCAAGAAAAAGCAATAAATGCATTAAGGAGTAATGCAGAATAAGTATACAAATATAAAAATATTTAGATTCTACAAGTTTTTAAATAATCACAGCACACACTCCCATTTGTTTTACAGTGTTTTAGGCAGAAAATTCTATGTGTGTGTGTACGAATGTTTTGCATGGTGGGAATACAGCAGGATGCATGTTGATGACTAGATTAACATTGAAGTTTTGATTATTCTGTTGCAGAAATTATCTGAATTTGCTGTGCCAGGACAGGTTACATTGGAAGGCATGTGTGACACTGATGGAAATGCAAGCCTCACTATCAACTTTAATAACACCAATGTCACATTTGAGTTCACAGACATCAGTGGCACAGCAACCATCAAATCTATCATGTTCTCGGTTGTTCAAGATTCAGTTCGGTTTCCCGATGCCAAGAATCGTAAATATTTTTGCATTTTCATTAACTGTTCTGTAGTTTTTTTACAAGCACTTTCGATTTTCTTTTGCAAGCACAGAGGTGGTAACTGAAGGTACAGTAACAATCAGCATGGAAAACTGGATCCTGATGATTGCAAAATTTGTTGATTTTTATCTTGTTATTTTTATGTAATACGGGGGATATAGCACTCAGCTTTTCTGTCCATCCATTATCAATTTTTTGTCCTGGGCCCACTTGCACAAAACGATCTTAGCGCTAAGACTATTGTATGCCTGTGCTAAAGTATGGGAGTTACGATCATCTTAGTGCTAGACCAGTGAAGATTCCAAGGTAGAATAGGTCTTCAGCAACCCATGCTTGCCATAAAAGGTGACTATGCTTGTTGTAAAAGGCGACTAACGGGATCGGGTGGTCAGGCTCGCTGACTTGGTTGACGCATGTCATCGATCCCAATTGCGTGGATCGATGCTCGTGACATTAATCACTGGATTGTCTGGTCCAGACTCGATTATTTCCAGACCGCCGTCTGAAAGCTGGAATATTGCTGAGTGCGGCGTTAAACAACAAACCAACCAACCAAATCTTAGCGCCAAGATCGCTTTGTGCAAGTGGGCCCTGATCATATCTCTGAAACTAATAGGTACTCTTTCATGAAACTTTGCACACATAAAGACCAGATTGTCAACTGGTAACGTTTGCCTTTGAGGGATTTTAGATTTTTTTGTTTTGTTTCCATGGCAACAAGTTTGACTTTGGCTCTTCATAGTGGACTGTTTATTCAGACCATATTGCGAGAACTAGGTACAGGTATTCTTTAATGAAACTTTGCAAACACAAAGAACAGGTTGTAAACTGGTACCTTTTGCTACTTATGGATTTTTAGAATTTTTATATTTTTCGTACCTTGGTCAGGCCAAAAGATTGTTTGGATAGCTATTCACCTGTGACGGTAGAAGCTTCACAAGGGAAATGTTTAGTGAAAACATTTATATCTATATTTCTATCAAGCTGCAATATATACGATTTCATCAGTTTAATGTGAAAGGTAAGCTTCAGTTACTGTTGATAACAGACAACAGTATCGCCATGTACCATCCACTAACTCATATCTTTACAAAAAAAGGACCTGACATAGAAATACAAAGTTCTGAATCCCAATTCCATGGTATTGTTTTGATGATCAATAACTACTCTTGTCTACAGATTAGATAGGAATACTCTCATCTAGTTGGAAAGATCACTTTTGTCAGACTTGCTGTAACTATCAGAGGCCAAGGGGATTTATCATCTTCTAATGAATATTAGCAAAGTCCTTGTGAAATGTTTGGCTATACCTCTTCACAAGGAAAAGAACTGAAGCTCGATGAAGCTGTGCAAGACAATAATGTCACATGGATGTGTTTGTGGCAGGAACTGAAAGATTTTACCAATTGCTATTGGTTTAAAAATATCACCAACAAGACCAAAAGGCTTTGAGACCTGATATTTTAGTAAGATATATCTATAGCTTCAGAATTAATCAGGTATTACTTTAACAATTTTGAAAATTAAGAAAACAAAATATTTAAGGTCAAGATGACACCTCAAATAGGTGATGATGGTTAATAGATTATTTGGGGCCCAATCATCTGCACTCAAGTTTGTCTCTGAAACTGTTTTACCAAATGCAGCGATACTTTACATTAATGTTTGTTACCATGACAATGGTCTGTAAAGTTTTTGGAATGTATTGAGATCTTGTGTCCTTTAACATGCACCATTATGACACATTCAATATCTGTACTTGATGGCTGTGTATGTGGTTTCAGTTCACTTTGTATGCACAAGGGCCAACAGCAGTGCTGTGATGTTCGTGTACATTGTTTCATCTGAGCAGTAATTGTAAAACACTGTCAAACAAATAAGAACATGAAGTGCTACAGGTGTGGTGTAATGTGTTGCAGCCGGGGAGCGGCTTCAGGAGACAGTGGACCCTCCACAGATTGCCACCACTGACAACACATTCTACACATGCCAAGCTGGGGAGCCTGTTACTTTCAGTGACAAGTCTGAAATGATTTTGAGTAGTCTCAAGTGGCAGGCATTCAACCTGGATCATGGCAACTTCACCAAACAAGGTAATATTATTGGATATAAGGAGCTGAGGGGCAAGGTTTATACCACACCAAGAGTTCACAGATTTTTGCTCATTTGACTGGAAGCCATTTGAGCCAATGATGTTACTATTTTGTTTGGCAACCACAGCAGCCAAATTAAAATACCTTACTCAGTGATTTCTTTTCATCACAGATATATTGACAAAGCCTAGATGTGACAAGTACTTACTATTGTTATTTTTTTGTGACCTGTCGGGGGTTTGATGATATTTACTCAATGTTGTCAATCATTTCTTGCAGCCCTCTTAGTTGTTTTCTTCAGGAGCCATTTGGCTCCTGGATGAAAGGAAAAAGCAGAAAAATTGGTTTTGCTAAGAGCCAACACAACTGACATTTTAATATTAAACATTTCAGGCTCAGACAAGTGCTACTAATGACAGATGCTTATTGTTAAAGGGCAAGTTCACACGGAAATTAACCTATTTTTCTTGTACTTTTTCCACATTAAAAGTGTTAACCTAGAAGTGTCATAGACAAAAATATAAAAATATCACAATTAATTAACATATTTTTCGCATTAAAACGATTTATATTTTTCACATTTACCAAGTGTTCTATTTCCACAACAAAAACACCATGGCTTATGCCCCTTGCAATATGACGTCATTGGTACCAATTGATAAACATTATGACGTCATCATGCTTTGTTAGAGCCGCTTCACGTGGTGTAGGTCCAGGTGTGTGATTCTAGCGTCTCAGATGCCAGCCAGCATAGTGTTATGCTGAGTCACCACTGCGCCGGAGTGTGTCGTAGGCCATGTTGTTTTACCGCAAACTGGTACTTGATATCTTTTGCATTGAGAATAGACAGGGACCCAGTTGAATTGGCACCAATTACGTCATAATCTAAGGGGGATAACTCAGGCCTGTTTAGCTCGAAAAATGAAGGCCTCATAACGGCATATCATTTTCACACTATTGTGAGCTTCTTACTTTCACTGTGAAAAAAATGAGTGTATATTTTCAAACACAGATACTAATTAATTCTAAAATTGCGTTTTGTTTAGAAAAAGAAAGAAAGTGACTTTGCGTGTACACTTCCCCTTTAAGGATTTTATAAGTTGGAATTTATTCAATTATTTTTTTCTGAAGTTTCATATCTGGTCCATTTTTACTAGCTTTGAGTCACTAGTATTCACTGTGGCAGTTTCCTGCACATATAGCATCAAAACAATTAGCTGAGGATGCTGGTGATGACATAGGCCATGCCCCCTGCGTATACTGGGGTTGCCTGCTTCTCTCTGATTATCATTGATAGTTGTAAATTAACTTGCTTGCATTCTTCACATAAGTGGTGATGACTCTTCTAAGGGAAAAACACATACGAGCATTTGGATAACGATTCTTGATAACAGATTATGTCCTTTGAACAAAACACATGTTAAACATCTATTGCCAACTGAATTTCAATTTGATTGAAACAAAGTCAAGAGTACTTTATGATGAATGGGTACTTAATGTTGAATGTTTAATGTTAAATATCATTGCAGACAAGCTCCATTCAGGAACCATCTATCTTTATCAGCTTTTCTTTACAATAGTTACACAATACCACATGTGTACTGTAAATCTTGAAATGAACACAAGCGTGAATTAAATGAGAAAAATGCGAGTGGTCTTTGCTCGCATTATTAAACATCACATTATATCAACAATAAAACTGCTTGAGAGGAGGGGGGTGTCGCTTTCATATTGAGTCACATTTTGGGTAGAGGCCAGCGGTCGCATTCTTTTGGAGACACATTTTTTTCACGATTTACAGTATTTGTTGAATACATAGTATTACAGATTTCTTTTAACAATTGTACATCACCTCAGAGAATTGAAGAGAAGCTGACATTTTATTGATTGTTGGGTTACTTACAGGAGCACAGTGTAAAGAAGATGTGACAACAACACCCTCAACCTCTACTGTAATGCCAACAACTCCAAAGCCACAACCCGGGCCTTTTGTAAATAACTTTACAGTGTCGGAGGGCAACACCACGTGTCTTGTGATGAGGTCAGCCTTAGTCCTCCGAATCCCATTCACAAACAAGAAGAAGGAGGTACACTACCAGGCCACATACAATAAGGAACATGTTCTCTACATCTGTAATCTGTCCATCTGTATCTACCTGTGTCTGTAATCTGTCCATCTGTATCTACCTGTGTCTGTAATCTGTATCTACCCGTGTCTCCACCTGTCTGTTCTTCTGTATCTACCTGTGTCTCCACCTGTCTGTCCATCTGTATCTACCTGTGTCTCCACCTATCTGTTCTGTATCTACCCGTGTCTCCCCCTGTCTGCTCTGTATCTACCTGTGTCTCCACCTGTCTGTTCTGTATCTACCTGTGTCTACCTATCTGTTCTGTATCTACCCGTGTCTCCACCTGTCTGTTCTGTATCTACCCGTGTCTGTACTTGTCTGTTCTGTATCTACCTGTGTCTGTACCTATCTGTTCTGTATCTACCCGTGTCTGTACCTATCTGTTCTGTATCTACCCGTGTCTCCACCTGTCTGTTCTGTATCTACCTGTGTCTGTACCTATCTGTTCTGTATCTACCTGTGTCTGTACCTATCTGTTCTGTATCTACCTGTGTCTGTACCTATCTGTTCTGTATCTACCCATGTCTGTACCTATCTGTTCTGTATCTACCTGTGTCTGTACTTGTCTGTTCTGTATCTACCTGTGTCTGTACCTATCTGTTCTGTATCTACCTGTGTCTGTACCTATCTGTTCTGTATCTACCCATGTCTGTACCTATCTGTTCTGTATCTACCTGTGTCTGTACTTGTCTGTTCTGTATCTACCTGTGTCTGTACCTATCTGTTCTGTATCTACCCGTGTCTCCACCTGTCTGTTCTGTATCTACCCATGTCTGTACCTATCTGTTCTGTATCTACCTGTGTCTCCACCTGTCTGTTCTGTATCTACCTGTGTCTCCACCTGTCTGTTCTGTATCTACCCGTGTCTGTACCTATCTGTTCTGTATCTATCTGTTCCTCCACCTGTCTGTGCTGTATCTACCCGTGTCTGTACCTATCTGTTCTGTATCTACCCGTGTCTGTACCTATCTGTTCTGTATCTACCTGTGTCTCCACCTGTCTGTTCTGTATCTACCTGTGTCTCCACCTGTCTGTTCTGTATCTACCCGTGTCTCCACCTGTGTGTGCTGTATCTACCCGTGTCTCCACCTATCTGTTCTGTATCTACCCGTGTCTCCACCTGTCTGTTCTGTATCTACCTGTCTCCACCTGTCTGCTCTGTATCTACCTGTCTCCACCTGTCTGCTCTGTATCTACCTGTCTCCACCTATCTGTTCTGTATCTACCTGTCTCCACCTGTCTGTTCTGTATCTACTTGTCTCCACCTGTCTGTTCTGTAGTCTACCTGTGTCTCCACCTGTTTGTTCTGTATCTACCTGTCTCCACCTGTCTGTTCTGTATCTACCTGTGTCTCCACCTGTTTGTTCTGTATCTACCCGTGTCTCCACCTGTCTGTTCTGTATCTACCTTTCTCCACCTGTCTGTTCTGTATCTACCTGTGTCTCCACCTGTCTGTCCTCCATCTACCTTTCTCCACCTGTCTGTTCTGTATCTACCTGTGTCTCCACCTGTCTGTTCTGTATCTACCTGTCTCCACCTGTCTGTTCTGTATCTACCTGTGTCTCAACCTGTCTGTTCTGTATCTACCTGTGTCTCCACCTGTTTGTTCTGTATCTACCCGTGTCTCCACCTGTCTGTTCTTTATCTACCCGTCTCCACCTGTCTGTGCTGTATCTACCCGTGTCTCCACCTGTCTGTTCTGTATCTACCCATCTCCACCTATCTGTTCTGTATCTACCCGTGTCTGTACCTATCTGTTCTGTATCTACCCGTGTCTGTACCTATCTGTTCTGTATCTACCCGTGTCTCCACCTGTCTGTTCTGTATGTACCTGTTCCTCCACCTGTCTGTTCTGTATCTACCCGTGTCTCCACCTATCTGTGCTGTATCTACCCGTGTCTCCACCTGTCTGTTCTATATCTACCCGTGTCTCCACCTGTCTGTCCTCCATCTACCTTTCTCCACCTGTCTGTTCTGTATCTACCCGTGTCTCCACCTGTCTGTTCTGTATCTACCTGTGTCTACCTATCTGTTCTGTATCTACCCGTGTCTGTACCTATCTGTTCTGTATCTACCCGTGTCTGTACCTATCTGTTCTGTATCTACCTGTGTCTCCACCTGTCTGTTCTGTATCTACCTGTGTCTCCACCTGTCTGTTCTGTATCTACCCGTGTCTCCACCTGTGTGTGCTGTATCTACCCGTGTCTCCACCTATCTGTTCTGTATCTACCCGTGTCTCCACCTGTCTGTTCTGTATCTACCTGTCTCCACCTGTCTGCTCTGTATCTACCTGTCTCCACCTGTCTGCTCTGTATCTACCTGTCTCCACCTATCTGTTCTGTATCTACCTGTCTCCACCTGTCTGTTCTGTATCTACTTGTCTCCACCTGTCTGTTCTGTAGTCTACCTGTGTCTCCACCTGTTTGTTCTGTATCTACCTGTCTCCACCTGTCTGTTCTGTATCTACCTGTGTCTCCACCTGTTTGTTCTGTATCTACCCGTGTCTCCACCTGTCTGTTCTGTATCTACCTTTCTCCACCTGTCTGTTCTGTATCTACCTGTGTCTCCACCTGTCTGTCCTCCATCTACCTTTCTCCACCTGTCTGTTCTGTATCTACCTGTGTCTCCACCTGTCTGTTCTGTATCTACCTGTCTCCACCTGTCTGTTCTGTATCTACCTGTGTCTCAACCTGTCTGTTCTGTATCTACCTGTGTCTCCACCTGTTTGTTCTGTATCTACCCGTGTCTCCACCTGTCTGTTCTTTATCTACCCGTCTCCACCTGTCTGTGCTGTATCTACCCGTGTCTCCACCTGTCTGTTCTGTATCTACCCATCTCCACCTATCTGTTCTGTATCTACCCGTGTCTGTACCTATCTGTTCTGTATCTACCCGTGTCTGTACCTATCTGTTCTGTATCTACCCGTGTCTCCACCTGTCTGTTCTGTATGTACCTGTTCCTCCACCTGTCTGTTCTGTATCTACCCGTGTCTCCACCTATCTGTGCTGTATCTACCCGTGTCTCCACCTGTCTGTTCTATATCTACCCGTGTCTCCACCTGTCTGTCCTCCATCTACCTTTCTCCACCTGTCTGTTCTGTATCTACCCGTGTCTCCACCTGTCTGTCCTCTATCTACCTTTCTCCACCAGGCTGCCCTGTATCTACTCATGTCTCAAGCTTTCAATCAATAGCTGCCTGTGCTTCTTGTAGCTAATCTCTTGATCTGGTTGATCTAATACTATTGTGCCATGTTGTGTGGTTCAATGAAGAGAAATGTATTACTGAGTGATGATTTTATGCTTTCAGAACCAGACAATGGAAATCACTGTGCCAGAAGTGAACCAGGCTGACATCACAGGTACCTGTGGTGACGTGGAGGAATCTATCACCTTCAGCTTCTTTAAGGACTGGAACATCACCATGGTGTTCGCGCAAGATAAAACATCGAGCCTCACAGCTCCCAAAGACGTCAATCATCAGCTGTCTAATGTGACAATCACCTATGTCTTGGACTCGGATCACTTCCCTGATGCTAATAAATCTGGTGAGTATTACCTCCAGCAGTCATGACTCCAATTCACATTCTGACAGTGTAGTAGGCCTGTATGGCCCCGCAGTGTGACGGCCCAGGATATATATCATAACAACAAAGATATGATACACTGGATAATCGAGAATGCATATCAGACAGGAGACATTGTTTTTTGTATATCATGGTATATACTGTGAATGGCTACTTGTGTTGTTTGAAGATGATATGCCCCTTAATTTCGTGATGGAACTACAGTTATATGTGAGAAATATGTTGGTGAGAAAGCTTCAGGCCATTGTGATCCACTGAATGGTATGGCCAGACCCACCTGTAGTTGTGGAGATATGTCTGCTGATAAAGGGAACTGCTCTTCATAGGCTGTATTAAGTTACTTTGATGAATTTATTTTTCAAATCATTAAAATTTTCATTATTTTAAAAGAAATTGTTGATTTGCGTGCAGATGTAAAGATCAGTGTGATGGCTATCAACGTTGCACAGTTTGATGCAAGTCAGAAGGGATCCTACAAGTGCAATTCCAATGTGACCATTGATGCTGAGCATGGTGTGGAGTTGGTCACATCAAATTTCCAGTACAAGGCCTTCCAAACAGGAAACAACACCGCCTTTAGCAATGATGGTGAGTTCAACACTATACAATTACTAATATTCTGAAGGGTCAAGTCAGAGGCTCTTTGTTTTTGCATGTTTACCTCGTCAAAAATAATCCTTCGTTTCATTATACTGAAATTCACTTAAACTGTCCTCTGTTTCATTACAGTAACTTAGCTGTGAACCGTAAAATGTCCTTAAGAGATGCCACCTTGTATTCTAGGAGACAAGTCAATATTCATCACGTGACAGGTCAATACTGATCATTTGATAGTCAATATTCGCGGTCAGTGTCAGTCACATGATTTCGGGGTCTACATTGAAATGTATTGTTTCGTCACATGGTACGGGTTAACCAATGGAATTGCAAGATTAATATAGGTTTAATAATGCTAGGTACACCCTGAGGACCTAGGATTCCAAGTTGTTACTGGTTATTATCTTCTAATTATGTCACTTCCCGTTAAAGATGGTATATATATGAATGTAGCCATAGACCTTACCCTATACGGTACATTATAATGTCTGTGACAACCTAAAGACTGATTTTATGGAGGATTTATCTCCCTTGGTCAGGTGTTATGCATGCACATATGTGGGCAAGCTGATAATGATCAATGTTTACATTGCAGGTCTGGTCGAGTGCCCTGCTGACACTGAGACAAACAGCATTGTGCCCATAGCTGTGGGCGCCGCTCTGGCCGGATTAGTTGTTATTGTGCTCATTGCCTACTTGATTGGTCGCAGAAAGAGGCGATCAGGCTATGAGTCTGTGTAGCCACACAGTGAAGGAAGTCTTAGGAAAGCATCTAACTAATGTATTGGATCTATTTTTATGCTGAGAAAAGTCTTCTAGGTCAAGATGACCTTTGTTGTTACTCAATTACCTGGATAGATAGCTTAAAATATTTGAGGAAGGGGGTTGTATAAGGTCTTAGCTGATATTTTAAATAATAAAATAAGCTTTGAAACAGTGCAGTTCAAATGGTGAATATGCAATTTTGAAACAATCAAATACTCAAACAGTGTAATATTTTGTCATGTCAAAAAAAAGGAGATGTTTTGTGCTTGATACATGTTTTGCAAGAAATCAATTTTTTCTTTTAGTTTTTGTTTGTTTTGCACATTTGCCGATGTGCTTGTACAGATCAGCGTTTGTGTACATATATGTAAAGTTATGTCAGGAATATTGTTTAATGATCAAGTAAATGTTTACAAATGTTTAAAGCAGCCCTGTAGCAAATCCCTGTATATATATTTCCAAGAAGCCGAAGCTACCAACACACCACTGGCCATTCATGGCCTGACATTCACCAAATACATTCTGCAGCATCCTCAACTGTTGCCATCACAACGAGGACCAGAGAAACAACAGTGGTTCACACCTTCTTAACTAGGGAAATGAATCAGTTTGCTGTGTTTTTAATGATATTTCTCATTGTTATATATGTTTTCTGACTTTGCTTAAACAGAAACATACTTTTCATAAAATACTGAAGTTCCCATGTTTACCCATGTGTCTGGAACAATTTTGTTGTAACTTTGGAACATTAGCAACAAATAAAGTCATAATTGTATCCGAAGGTGTCTGACAAGAGGCCTGCTTGTATGGTGCGTCACTTGTCTTAACAGTTTTGTGATCTACTAAGATGTTTTATTTGTACATACTTTACAGATATAGATGTTTCTTTGCTATGTAATCCAACAAAGTGCTTTTTGTTTAATGAGTAAAAATCAGTGTATGTGCTTGAGAAGAAGAGTATTTGTACAGTGTTTGTCATTTTTGACATATTTATATTTAATACCATGGTTCCTCTAAAAAGTTAAAGTAAAATAAGGTATTAACAACTCTTATTTTTCAGACTTTTTCTATTTAAAACAATGGAAAGTATAGTTTGTTATAATGAACAATATCATTTTGTTCAATTTTTATTGGAATTGTTTGATTTGAATGTGTCTGTGTGCTTGCTAAGAGGTATTTGTTTGCTTAGTTAAACTCAGTCTACTCCCACTGTGTGCTACAGTGAAGAAGTATACAGTGTGCAAGGAGTAGTGGGGTTAGTATTGTTTATGTCAAGCACATTCCATCATGGCACACCACTGCATAGACTGTCAATAGGAAGGCCAGGCCACTTCCATTGCTGAAGTGCTCACCTAGACACTGAACACCAGACAAGGAAATGGTAATCCTGTACAAGAGTCAGGGGCCTCACAAATGTCATTGATATGGCTACAGAAAATCCACTTGCTACACTTGCTGTTTATGAGCATGTATAGCAAGTTGGCTTGTTACACAATGTTGGTCCGGTTGGTAGTAGTTTTTGCAGACATTGGTTAGTTGAGGTTCCCCATTTTGCTCAGGTACAGACCTTGCGTTCCTCTGCCCTTGGTTATCTCATAGCGGAGCATCATGTCATTCATTCGTTGGCAGATATTTTAGACTGTGCACATAATATTCCATAGAATATATTTCATGAATTCATTTCTTGGATGTGTTCAAGTTTCCTCTGTTTAAGACAGTTGTACCAGTCAGACAGGTGAATACTTGAAACGGACTTGTAGATATCTTCTCCTACAGACTATGCAGGTACTATCAAAAGGGTGTTGCATGCTGGAAACTGCTTGTAACTCCCACAGCAACACCTGGCAGGGTCGTATTGAACACTTCCAATATTACTCACATTTGTATGTGTGCACATTGACTAGTTCTTTTTTTTTTAATTAAAAGCTATGTATTTTATGAACAGTTATGTAATGATAATATAATGTAATTAATGCTATAACTGGAAGATGAAGATAACATTGTGTATAACATCTAGTGAAGCTGTCACAACTTATGGTTTTGTTTGTTTATTGTTTAACGCCGCACTCAGCAATATTCCAGCTATATGATTGCGGTCTGTAAATAATCGAGTCGGGGCAGTACAATCCAGTGATTGATATCATGAGCATCAATCCACCCAATTTTGATACGATGACATGCATCAACCAAGTCGGCACGTCTGACCACCTGATCCTGTTAAGTTGCCTCTCACGACAAGCATTGTTGCCATTTACAGCAAGCATGGGTTGCTGAAGACCTATAACACAACACTAGAGGTGATCAGTATGATGATAGTGGTGGTGAAACTGCTTCACAGGGCAGCAATACTCCACAACTGGTGGGATTATGATTGTTTAAAGATTGTATTGTCTTGCTGTTTCGGAATGCTGTGTTTTACCTTCATACAGTATTTTTTGCTTAACTTCATTTATAATACATATGTAAATTGACTTGATCTCATTGAGATTTATTTGTGAATCATGAGTTTCTATTTTAATGTTTATCAACGGGAGTTAAATAAGTATTTGTAATGAGGCTTTGGATAGACGGGCAGTGTAATGTAGCAGTTATCCTGATCATGCCCACTCAACCATGTGACAACAGCCCACTAAAACAGGCTACCGGTAAAAGTGGTGCATGTCGCCTTTGTAGTATTTCCAAAACAACAGATCAGAGTGATTTTGTAATATTCATAATTTATTATATCTTTTTGAATTTTTATATTATGAAAAGTAATTAATATTTTTTGTTTGGTTCACCGGAATTTTCCGATACATTTGTAAACACATCAGTTGCAACACAAGAACATTGCTATATTTGTGATCCAGGATGTTATTGTGCAACATTTGCTTTTCTAATAAATCACCATAATTTGTAATCATCTGGTTTGTTTTGCTGTGATTCTAGTCCTGCGAGAAACAACAGTGATTGATTTACTAAGCTTTTGATTTAAGAGCAGCTTCATATGTGTGTCTGTATTTAGCACACAGACTATCATGCACACACTATCATGTAGGGGGAGGGGGGTCGTCACTGCAATAGCACCAAGCACCAGCTCACACCTCTTCTGTGTGCAAAGGCAGGAAAACCTCACTTCTTTCCTGTGTGTGCTAGAGTGAACATCTGGCAGTCATCTTCAGTAAGTTTGGTAGATTGGTTGGTACTCATATATAAATTTGATGTTTGTGTGGGTGTGCGAGTCTGTCATGGCAACCTCGACCTCTCCCTCCACATTGAAGAAGTGTGGCAATTTTATGGTCATGGGAGAACCTCAGTCTTCTTACAGGAAGCACCCCGCTCTTCAAATCGGCTTACAGCACGATGCCGGACTCCAAATAAGAAAGCAAAGCAGAAGGAAGCAGCAAAGAAAACTGGAGAACATGGTGTCTCTTTCCATTGTCCCTACAGTTCACTCTCCAAGCCGTCTCCCAAGCCGATGATGCTTAGGACACCTACCCCAGGATTATCACCCCGGAATCCTGGTCGAACACTGAGACCACATGGACACCATGGCTGTTACGGACACCACACGTCATTGAACCTCTCTCCCGGCTATTAACTATGACCATATAGACTTCTTTTCTGATTCTTTGGAGCAATTACTGTAAATACTGTAAAAGGCCGACACGAGCCAGATGCATGTATTGTAGCGGAAGTACTCTACTTAGCACTAATAAACGGTGCTATTTGTTTTGTGATTGGATTAATGTAAGGTTGTACTAAGGAGTAAACCTGACAGGACATTTTCTTCAGATATAAAACCACGGATACTAGAGAGAAGGGGGTGTCGCATTTATATTTACCGGTAATCACATTTTTAGCTAGGGGCCAATGGTTGCATTCATGATTTACAGTATACCATCTTGTGCCGGTCCTGCAACCTAAGGTGGAGAAAACAGGATGGTGACACCATCTCAGTGTGTTCATCACACCTTCCAGTGACCAAGTTACACATACCATGCTACACATACCATGAGACACAATGATCACATCCCCTTACCTGCATTGAAGAACTGCTTATACTAGACTCACGAATGCCCTCTCACTGAGTTACAAGTTCTCGGCTAGGATTTCCCCAAACAAGTTCATTTGCCGAATACGAAGATCATGTTTTCCCCTTGGCAGACAAACACTCCATGGACATTGGGGTAAACATAAATTGAAATTTGTCATGTCATTCCACCGCAACAGGAATCTGAGGAAGGAATCATGGGAGATACGCCACAATCCATCAGAATGGAACACGTCGGACTAATAGCCTACTGAATACCATTTTTTTTACGCAGAAGGACTTATCATCCACCCTGGTCTAGATGTCATCCCATATGGATACAGAGACAACAGCGGCTATCCAGATTCGTTCAAGAGCAGTCTCAGATCATGCCAAGAGGATGGTTATGTCACAACCCATCATACCACCCAAGGTCTTTAATGACAAACTCCGCACTGCTCGTCATTTCCTTCCAAATGTTCAAGGACCGCCTCCGTGGTCTAGTGGTAGGCCCCCGCCCGGAGAGCAGAAGATCCAGGTTTCGATTCGCATCATACAAAAGACATTAAAAGATGGTATTTGCCATTACCCTGCCTGGTGCTCGGCATTAAGAGGCAAAAACAAGTGTTCAAGAGAAACATCCTGGTAAACCTACCTTCGGGGAGCCAGCACAGAAGAAGTAATAGACCTCAAAATACAATGCAACAACCTGACTACAAATGACATGGGTTCGTGGTCTAGTGGTAGAGCGTCCATCGGGAGAGCAGAATGTCCGGGTGTCAATCCACAGCTACTCTTCAAGATATCACGTACAGAGGGAGATTGAAATTATGCCCTCCCCAGAATGGCAGCAACTCACTGAGATCTCAGATCTTGGACTCATTCTATCAGACACCACATTATTTGAGTCAGAAACTCAATTGGTGGACTGAGAGAGATCATGTTATGGACGTCATTCCTCCAGTATTCCTGACACCTGAACATAATCTGATTTCGTACACGTCAGACTCAAGTTGATAAGCCTATATGGACGGTTTCAAGATCCAAGGCTTATGGTTAGCTTCCACATCAACTTCCGAGAGATGAAGGCAATATATTACACTCTCAGGACCTGGAAAAAATTCAACTGTCTCATTCCTCATTCCTCCCAGCCATGGACAACACCATGGTGGCTGCATATTTCCAAAAGCAATGTGAAACCAAAGCCAGTTCACTGATAACGGAGACTAAGCGATTGTTTTCCTTGGCAGACTCTATCAGCAGGAGAGATTAGTGATAACGGAGTTGTCACTTCATCCAGAAGGATTCAGTTGGATAACGTCAGTATGGTACCCCCCACATCTGGATCTCTTTACTACTTGCCTGAACAATCAACTTCCAGTCTTTGTCAGACCAGTACCAGACCCAATGGGTCTCTAAGCGGATGCCCCATCGATTGATTAGACTGGTCTGTTTGCTGAGGCATTTCCTCCATGGTCTTTTCTAGACGAGGTGATCCAGAAAGTACAGTTGACAGACTATGCTCATCCTGATAGCCCCAATAGGTCCAAGCAGAACATGGTTTCCCAGACTGTTACCACTGCTTATGGAAGATTCACAAGCATTATAGGAGCAATAGTATTATTGTTAACAATTCTAAGACTACCACCTCTATTATATCAAATTCCTGTAATTTAGCTGCAATCACACCATAACTAAACCTTCAGATTTTCAACATTGTCACATTTGTACATTTTACAATAAATTGTATATTTATAATATACTCACAAGCAAAAGAAACGCAAGTCGAGTATGCAGTATACATGTTATTTATTTTCAACAGTAAAGACAAGAAATACTTATAGGGCAAGATTGACAAAAATTTGACTGAAGACAGTTTAATGGATTAAAAGGCAGATGACATAATTGTTTTTTTCAAATGTTAAGGGCTTACACAGTTTCGGGTCAATACTCAAAATGTCAGTCAATACCTGGTGTGACCACCATTAGCATTGATCACTGCCACACATCTCCTGTACATCGTCTGGATCAGACGATTTGTGAAGGCCCTAGGGATCCTCCTGCACACATCCAGAGCAGCTGTGCATAGTTCATCGGCAGGTGTAGGGACTGGGTGCACACTGAGCAGACGCCTTTGAACCTCATCCCACAAGTGTTTGATGGGGTTCAGATCAGGGCTGAGGGCTGGCCACGGTAGAACACGGATGTTGTGTTGTTGCAGAAAGGCCATGGTAGCTCTGGCAACATGGGGACAAGCGTTGTCCTGCTGGAAAATGTGTTGTTGATGTTGTGCAAAAAATGGAACAACATGAGGTCTGATCACTTGGTCGATATACTGCTGAGCAGTGACGCCGTGTCCCCGACCTTGACCAACATTCAGAAAGCCCATGGGTCCAAGTCTCGCATTAAGTCCAATCCCTGCCCATATGACGCTAGGTCCACCCCATAGATCCCTTTCCACAACGTTTCTGTCAGCGAAACGATCACCTCGATGCTGCCAAATTCTGACTCTTCCGTCTGCATGGGAGACACAAAAGCGACTTTCATCAGAGAAGATGACACGCCTCCACTCCATGACGCCAATTGCGATGACCCTGTGCCCACTGAAGTCGTGCTTGTCGATGCCGTGGTTGGAACACAGGACGATGTGCTGGTCGGCGACATCTGAGGTTGTTGGAACGGAGACGTCGGATCACAGTGTCCCGGCTAATGTGTCGATTATGTGTTCCTATTGTCCTATCGAGCACTTTCAATTGCAGTTAGGAACGGATGTCGCTGGTGTTGACGGGTAATCTGTCGATCTTGTCGAGATGTGGTGACTCTAGGACGACCGCTCTGAGGAAGGTCATCTGTGGTCTGTATAGCATTGTATTGATGCAGGAGACGGTAAATTGTAGTTATGTTAACGTTGAAATGACGGGCAACATCATGGACAGACTCTCCAGCTTCCAAACGTCTGATAGCTTGGTTTCTCTGAATTTGAGTTAGGCGTGGCATTGTTGACCAAGGAGTGGTAGGTCAAAGAATCGGCCACAGTTCGTGCATTTTCGATTTCGCGAGAAATTGGTGCATGATACCCACATATACATTGAAATGGTGAGTTTTGGTGATTCGTTTTTTATGTTGCGTTTTTACTCGGGGCTTCCAAAATGCAACCAAAAACATTGATAACACCATCAGGCTTCACTACATACTAAAACTCGTTTCAATTTATGGTTCTGTGTTTGTTACCTATTTGCTTAAAACCACTTGCGTTTCTTTTGTGTGTGAGTATACTTATCCTATCTCACTCTATGCTTTTCATCCTACTTGTTCTGATCCCTGGAAACGTCCTTGAACAAAGTTTCCAGCTTCTAAGTTTCCTGCTGTTGAGTGATCTTGAAAACCCTTTACGCTACTAGGACACAGTGTCATGTCATCGGGTATAACATGGGCTTGTGTCTTTCGTATAGGACATCATACTATGATGACCGTGCAGATTTGAATTAGTTCTACAAAGTTGTCTGCAGGTATAAATGACCGAAACCACTCTCTAGTCTCTACATGGATTTTTTGTGCTTCTCCATTGAAGCCTCATTTTCGGAACCTGATGAATAATCATAAACAAGTGGCTCTCAATTCTTTATTCATGCTGTAAACGATACGATTGCATGACTGCACTGAGTGTACTCGCAATTTATCTGTATTGACAGGCTGTCGTTAATTGTTGAGCCAGGACTAGCAGACTGAAGTGGTGTAGCCCTTGGACATTGGTTACAGTGATATCTCGTAAATAGTGGGAGGCGAAGACCATATCAGATTTCGGGAAACATTCTTCCATGATAGCACGGAGGGAACAGTTGCTATGTACAGACATGGTAGATGCAACAGCAAAATTGTAGGCACAG